AAAGCAGCTCCTACTGTATGAAGTACATCAAATATCAAATTACTCTGAGAAGACAGATTGTATACAGTATCAATAATGTATGTGGACCAGTAAGTGTTTTAGAAACAGCTGCTTTGATTTGGACTAATTTTATTTCTTTGCACTTCAAATATGGGCGTTTTTGTGTTCCAGCCCACTCCCAAAGAAGATGGTTTATTTCAGTAAAATGTGTGGTCAAATTCCTTATTTTATATGATAAGAGACAAGCTTTCTGCAATGGGGAGGGGTTTTTGTTTTGTTAAGGTGTTTTTGTTCAGTTGACAACACAGCTCAATTCTAATATTATTGCAGGAATGTCTTCTTCCTGGACTGTGTTCACATTGGTATAAAATTCCTATTTAGACTTGGATACATCCATGTTTGTACATTACTCAGCAGATTAAGGCTAAGATATCTTTCTGGCATGAGTGTTTCAAGCCATTTGAAAGTGGTCTGAAAGTAAAAACAAAACTGAAACACCAAAACACGAGTGTATATTTAGTATTTTACACATTAACAAACCTCCAGAAGAACTGAGACTCAGTTTTAGACTAAAATAGAATATATTTACTCTTTCGTTTATTCATCTTCTACTTTTATAAATATATATTTTGCTTTGATGAGTTTTAAACTGTTTTTTTGTTGTTGTTGTTGTTGTTCTTTTTTGCCACTGTACCCCTTTTAATCTTTTTTGGTTCTTTTGTATTTTGTATGTGCAGGACATTTAACTTTCTTGTGTGTGTGAAATGTGTCAAAAATGATTTCCTCACATTTTTAGCAACTCTAAATATTCTGTGAACATGACCAGTGTTGTAAAAATGAATGAATGAATAATTATTGGGTTTTATTAGGAATATGTGTTTGTAAGTACGATGACACGAAAGATAGGAATCACAATATGTCCCTTACCAAAGGAAAAGAAGCACAATGTTTTCGTTTTTTTTCTATCCTGTACAGTAAGATGTTTCAGAGCCTGATTAATTCTACTAAGAAGACAATGCAGGGACAAACAATAAATCTTTATTTTGGTATGTGAGCGATGTATGCATACCACTTATTTTCCATCTTATCATCATTTGTAGTTATCTCTACTTGGTTGGTTTTTAGATCTAAACTGTATATCAATACAGATTGTACCAGACTTGGATGTCAAAGAAAGTCCCTCTTCCTCCTCATTTCCTCCGTCTAATCTCCATTTCTAATGCTGGTGCTATCTGTTTTTTTTTGTTGTTTTTTTTTTGTGGTGTTTACAGTGAAGAAGCAGGATGGAGCAGCTGCCATGGAGATGCAGCCTCTAAAGAGTGCTGAAGGCGGAGAGTCCGATGAGAAAGAGAGAAAGAAAACGTCAGTTCCAAAGAAAGAGAAGTCTGTGCTGCAAGGGAAGCTGACCAAACTGGCTGTCCAGATTGGCAAAGCAGGTACAGCAAATTGCACATGGACAAATCAATCACTCAGTCAGGCAGATAAATCAGGAACATCAAGGTACTGAACCACCATCCTGTCCGTCAAAGAAATATGTTGTAATGAAGAAACTCACTTTTTGGACAGTTAAGAAGAAATCAAGGGTTTCTGAATGATCGAACTCCTGAAGAGTCTGTTTGCTCCATTTTTCAAAAATGATCTGCCCTTAAGGGACTCACTGAATTATTGTAACAGGAACAACTGAAATTCTGTTATGCAGCGTGTTCTCTTTTGCAATTTTCACAGTCTATAAATGTAATCAGTTGTTTGTAACATCATTTAAATCACTGAGGAGTTAATGTCAAGCACACTTGTGGAAGGTCTGTACCTGCAGGCATTTTTAGTAAAACATGTAAAACATGCCAGTAGCCCACGCTGTGGGTGTCCTCCCAGCAGCAGCGTAGTAGCATCAATATCAAACTAATGATGAAGATGAAAATAACACACAAAAAAATGGAACAAATCTGGAGAATTTACTGTTCTCACAGGTAGAGTCAGTGACAATAATCCAGCACTTTCTTTTTTTTTTTTTAAATTCAGTGAATGTCCTCTCAAGACCCACTGGTTGTACAAAGCCCTGCACAACAAGTGGCTTTGACCAATCCACACAACACTATTCATCCTCATGCTCATGCATAATTAACGCTCAGCAGTTGTTTGGGTAAATTTAAAGAGTCTGACCTCTGAGGCATTCATCTATATTGGCTATTTACTCAATTTTATTAATAAAGAGTTGAAGGTTTTGCAGAGAATCCCTCAAAGGAGTTCTCATTTTGACAGTGTGCTGTTCTATCAGACTGTTGGTCTGATTGATGGAGTGGGGGCATGGTGTCAGAACAATAACGTGGATGGATTAGCATATATGCAGCAATGTAAAATCATATGACATTCCTGGGGAAATGCATTAATACATTTCAGAGCCTGTTCAATTCAATTCTATTTCATTTGTATAACACAGTTTATGGCACATGTATCACACAGCGTAAGGTATAGACCTTACAAATTTAACAGAGAACCCAACAATCCAAAGTAGCCTTTGGACTTCCTGTGAGCAAGCAGTTGGCAATGGTGGAAAGGAACCAAACCTCCTTTGGGGGGGAGGGGGACCTCCAGCAGAACCAGGCTCAGGGTAGACGGTCATCTGCCTCAACTGGTTGGGTGAGAGTGGGGATGGGGGGATGGGGAAAACAGGCTAGCAGATGGAGAGCAAGTAATAGAACAGAACAATAAATATGAATATAAGTATTTTTTTGTGGGTCGGTGAGGCCAGCAGCTGCAGGTCAGGGATGTGAAGTTCTGGATCCAGAGGTGGCACAGGACCTCTGAGGAAACACAGAGTTAGTGACATGTAATGGTGGTTATAACTGTATGGAAGAGACGAGAGTAGAGGAGAGGAGCTCAGTCCATCATTAGAATCCCCCAGCAGCTATAGCAACATAACTAAGGGGCAGTTCAGGTGATCCTGAGCAGCCCTAACTATCAGCTTTATCAAAGAGGAACGTTTTGAGCATAACCTTAAAAGTAGAGAGGGTGTCTGCCTCCAGAACCCAAACTGGGAGCTGATTCCATAAGACAGGAGCCTGATAACTGAAGGCTCTGCCTCCCATTCTACCTCTGGAAACTCTATGAACCACAAGTAGACCTGCAGTCTGAGAGTAAAGGGCTCTGTTTGAATAGTATAGCACAATAAGGGTTTTAAGGTAAAATGGAGCTGGTCATTGAGAGTTTTATATGTTAAAAGCAGGATTTTACATTCTATCCTTGATTTTACAGGGAGCCAATGAAGAGAAGCTAAAACAGGAGACATGTGATCTCTCTTACTGGTTGCTGTCAGAACCCTGGCTGCAGCATTTTGGATCAGCTGAAGGTTTTTTGAGAGCATTAATTGGACATCCTGATAATAAAGATTACAATCGTCCAGTCTAGAAGTTCTAAATGATGGACTAGTTTCTCAGCATCACTCTGAGACAGGATGCTCCTGATTTTTGCAATATTACGTAAATGGAAAAAAGGCTGTCCTACAAACTTGTTTTATGTGGCTATTGAATGACATGTCCTGGTCAATATAACTCCTAGGTTCTGTACAGCAGAACTGGAGGCCAAGGCAATGAAATCTAGAGTAACTATCTGGTTCGACAGTGTGTTTCTGAGCTGTTTAGGGCCAAATACAATAACCTCAGTTTTTTCTGAATTTAGATGAAGGAAATTACAGATCATCCAGGCCTTTATGTCCTTCAGACATGCCTGGTCCAACTGATTCATTTCATTTGACTTCATAGATAAATATAACTGTGTGCAGTCTGCATAACAGTGGAAACTTAAGCAGTGCTTCCTAGTAACACTGCCAAAGGGGAGCATATACAAGGTAAATAGTGTAGGTCCTATATTATTCTGGAGCTTTATCATACCAGTTGTGCTTCATTAGCTGTTAGAGAAGAACTAAAAAAACAACTGTGTATTGTTCCCATTGAAATTAAACTCACAGTTATTGCATTGCTTTTACACTGTTAACCTAACACACTGGCCTTTATTTCAGCAACAAGATCACAAAATCTGACACATTACAAGTCCTCATTTGCACATAATCACTTCCTCCACCCATCCTGGCCTGTAGTCACACCCTCAATGACGAGTAATGCGCATTTAAGGATGGAGCTTCATGATAATGTTCATGATCTGTCCAACTTGTTAGTTGTCAGTTGGGCAAATGCCCTCAAAGCAGTGTACAGTAAACTAATACAGTCTAATGCACCATTTTTGCAATAGAGTGGTGGTTGTTTAGTTTTATTACGTAACAATCACTTCCAAAAAGAGTTTGGTATTGCACATGACATTTGCCTGACCTTATAAAGTTCTGAGCAGATCAAATTAAAATCAGGTTTTTAAAGACTTTTGGATGTATTTATCCTTGAGTTAATATGCATGCTTACCTTTTAAAGTGTAAAAATCATGAGAATCAGTCAGCATGTTTAAAACCCATTGACACAGAAACCACAGACTTATGTCCAGTTTCAAAAGACCAAGACGAAGATGGCCGAATGCCGAAGCCACGGCTTTAAAAAGGTAGTCTGAAAACCAACAAGTGGTCGCTATGTTTCTGTTTTATCTTATCTTTTAACAGTCTTTTACAACAACCTGGGCCCTGACAGTGACATGCATTCATGCAAAGCAGTCATACTAAATGTTCCTGATTACAAACACATTTTTGATGTTTAAATGCCAGTTTTGTCGACTAAGATCAATTCAGCCACCTCAGAGGTTACATATTACTGCTGACTCTCATTTCAATCCCTCTGTAGCCTTTGTGTTTGAAGTTTAAAGGCTTACTTCATTTGTTTTCAGGGGGCAGTTTCCTCTCAAACCAAAACACGTGCAGTAGGTATTAAGAATCCCTCACTATTACTGAGGTTACAGCACAATGGGTCCATCCAGCAGACACATTTCCCCACATGGATCAGTAAAGTGTTACTGCATTCTAACTCTGTGTCTTGAGTATCAAACACGTCCTCTCCAAGTTTTCCCTTCATCTTTTCCCTTTTCCAGGTTTGCTTATGTCGGCCATTACAGTCATCATCCTGGTCCTATACTTTGCCATTGACAACTTTGTGATGCAGAAGCACCCCTGGATGCCAGAGTGCACTCCCATCTACATCCAGTACTTTGTCAAGTTCTTCATCATCGGTGTGACTGTGTTGGTTGTGGCTGTGCCAGAGGGACTACCACTGGCTGTCACCATCTCCCTGGCGTACTCTGTCAAGGTGAGGAAGAAAAACACACATTGAAAAGATTTTGTAGTGGGTTTTTTTTTAACCATTATAAGTTGATTCTCAGACCTTTATCAAAGGAGTTTTGAGTTTTAAAACTTGGTTTAAACTGTACAATTTTTCAATATTACATTTTTTTGTGAAGTTATTTTGTGTTATTTTTATTTGACTCTCCATGTGCAAATTTGTGAACATCTCACAGATGTAATTTGCATGGGGGAGGATTCAGCGTAGTTAATTCTTGCACTGTGTTAACACGCTTTCTTGATTCACAGCAGCAAACATGAAAAACAGGATTAGGTCCATGTGCAGAAAGCATTTTATTTCTTGTAATTATGCAAATTAAGGAAGTGTTTCAACACAGCATATTACATTAGTATGGACATATATGGCAACAATTATCACCACTGAAGTTTAAGTATTTTTGAACTGCAAAACATTATTTCCTACTGACAGAAAATGATGAAAGACAACAACCTGGTGCGTCACCTGGATGCGTGTGAAACGATGGGCAATGCTACGGCCATCTGCTCGGACAAAACAGGCACCCTGACCACCAACCGCATGACAGCTGTGCAGTGTTACGTTGGAGATGTGCACTACAAAGAAATCCCGGATCCTGGAACTTTGCCACCAAAATCACTGGAATTACTGGTCAATGCCATCTCCATCAACAGTGCCTATACCACCAAGATACTGGTAAGACACCTGCAGAAGCCCCCCCTGTACGTGGAGTTTTCAGGCCTTTTTTTCTAAACACACTCATTTGTTTGTTACTTCAAAAGATAATCAAGTGTAATGGTGTTTTTATATAATGTTAAATGCTATTTTTGTAGTGTACATCATGCTTAGCACCTGCTATATTGAAGATATTCCATTGTACTAAAGTCTAATGAGATAAGACTTAAATATCTTGGGTTAGCTGCAGAGATTTTCGCTTACTCTGTGTGAGAGCTAAAACCATATGATGAGAACAGCCCTGAAAGTATGAGACAGGTCTGCAGCGCTTTCTTCTTGGCATAGCAGGCACTCAGTGTCCTTGGCTGCTGCTTTATATTCATCAGGCATTCACTCAACTTGTCACCTTGAGAGCGGTTGTGTAATTTTGTCTTATCTGATATTCAGAGCGTAGCAGACTGTAATTGAATCCAATCTGTCCAAGTGCTGGAGATGGTCTCTTGTTTACAGTGAATGCAGCAAAAAGAGATTTTCTCTAAGCCAATTAGACTTGCATGCTATAAGAGATAGATAGATAGATAGATAGATAGATAGATAGATAGATAGATAGATAGATAGATAGATAGATAGATAGATAGATAGATAGATAGATTATGACATGTTCCTAATCACAGAACCTGAAACCTGTTTGCATGGATGTTTGTTCAGGCCACAGGTCTGAAACACTGCCTCCGTAATGAAGCACTTGGTTAAATATTCTAAACGCAAAGATTGCCAAGATCAGGATGTCTTCAGCCTGTTAAAACAACATGCCTGAGTAATCCTTTTCTTGGCATGACCAGGTGAATTCACCTGAATGTACATATGCACACACACACACACACACACACACACACGTGCTTTGTGTGCCTGTCTGTGTGACACCATCCTTGTAAACTCCTGTGGCGTCTATTCATTGATGGTTGACCAACTGACAAATGCCCTTATGGAACATGCATGGGGAATGAGCTGAACAGGCGGGACATCTGCGATAAAAAGATCCCACAGATTTTGCTTCCTACCCCTCAAGGCACAATCGCAGTTTTGGTAAAAACAGCGTGTTTGCCACTGGGTGTTTTAAGATGGAGACCTGCAGATTTGTGTGACTTTGGTTCTTTTGACACATAGTTGATACACTTAAAGAATTCAGTTACTGCTGGCATGCGATTATCCTAACTGTGCCTCCCAGGCTTAAAGCCAGGCAGTGCAGTGAGTTTAGAGTTCTTTGACTTTCTAAGTATGTATTAAAGTTCTTTCTTGCCTGTAAATGCCAAATTGTGATTCTGCTCTTGACCCACAGCTGAAGTTAAGACGTTATAAGTCTAGTCCAAATGATTCTGAGATTGAGTCAAAAATACATAAATAAATAAATAACTTCATGCTTTCATAAAGTGTCAGAGTTAGAATCAACTGTGATACCACTTCTAATTAGATGCTGTGTTGAAGGTTCAAGTTCTTTCAGAAATATAAATTGATGTAGTCTATGTGTAAATTAGTCTAAACACTTAAGTGCTAACGCTGGCATTACTACTGATTAATTCAATTGTCTTGTTACATCTTTTCATACATTGACTCAGAAAACTGCCTGTCCAGGATAGGGTCACTTAGTACACTAAGAAAAATAAGTGCCACTTTCCTTTACAAGTGACAGTGCAGCACAGTGCACAGGGTATTAAAGAACTTTGTGCCTCTGTGAGGAACTAGTGACTAATGAGACAGAAAGGGCAAAAAAATGGAAATCCATATAAATGAACTGTAGGAGGCAAGACTAAGATGAAGACTTAGTCAAAGATTAGAGGAGAAGACAGAGATTAACCTTGAATACGTGAACCTGTGATCAAGAGGAAATACACGAGCAACGCTTCAAATACGCATTTTAAACATTTTTTATATAATTGTAAATTGATGAATGTTTATTTCCACATAAGTAAAAACTCTAGTCACTTTAGTTGTTATACCAATGAATTTACCTCAGTTTTAATTTGTCACAGCATATTTTTACCAAGATGTGCCACATTTACAAGATGTTATCCCTTTTGAAAAACCTGGAGGAACGCTTTGCAGCATTACATCAGACTGTTATGCTTTCATAGCTGCTTGACTCAATGGAATTAAGTACTGGCAGAGCACAGCTTAGACCTTTAGGATTAAATGGCACATTTGCTTTTTTTTATCTCTTCATTCATAAAAGAGTTTACCTCATGTCAAAATTAAACCTACGGTACACTTAAAATGATATCAGCTTACTTACCTGTGCTGTTTGCAACCCTCCATCTACAGAAATTCCCTGCATCAGCTGTGTACTACACTCACAACATTAAAACTACCTGCCCAACATAATGTAGGTCCTCCTTGTGTCGCCAAAACAGCATTTGTTTTATTGGGACTTGTACTTGGGACTTCAGGGGTTGTTCTTCTGTGTGTGTCACCAAGAAGATCCTTTGGATTTTGCATCAGTCAGATTGGGGTCTTGTGATTTTGGAGGAAGGATCAACACCTTGGGTTCTTTGCTATGTTCTTCATGCTGGCCCTGAGCAGTTTTTGTGGTGTGGTGGGGCTACTGCTGATGCCACAGTGGGGTGTGCTTGGTCTGAAACAATGTTTTGGTGGGTGGTACTTCCATCCATCCATCCATTATCTATACACCACGTAATCCTCACTAGGGTCGCGGGGGGGCTGGAGCCTATCCCAGCTGACTTCGGGCAAAGACAGGGGACACCCTGGACAGGTCACCAGCCTATCACAGGGCTGCACAGTGAGACAGACAACCAAGCACACTCACATTCACACCTACGGACAACTTAGAATCACCAATTAACCTCAACATGTTTTTGGACCTTGTGGGAGGAAGCCGGAGAACCCGGAGAGAACCCACGCTGCACGGGGAGAACATGCAAACTCCACGCAGAAAGATCCCAGGTGTTCTAACTAGGACGTGAACCAGGGATCTTCTAGCTGCGAGGTTTCAAAAACTGACTACATAACATTTATGTTTACACATTTACATGCATTGGTCTGTTCTTTGCTCTTTTTTGTTTGCGAATTTTTGAGGTCCACGTCTAGCAAGCCGTTGAGTCTTTGAGCCATGGCTCTATTGTTTTTACACTCATGAACAGCTGTTGGCGCTGAGCCAGGCCATGGGAGAGACCGGACATCCCCGATGAGCTGGAGGAAGAGGGGATGCAGGGCAGGAGTGAAGCGTAGGGAGAAGAGGAGACGCTTCAAGCCGTTCATCCGTCCATCATCATGGGAAACATGAGGTCTCTCCCTAATGGATGGAAGAGCTAACAGCTAGCAGCTAACAGCGCTGACCCGGCTGCAGTGGGAGTATCAGGAGTGCAACCTTATGTTGTTTCCGGAGTCATGGCTGAACGAATTCACTCTGGACTCACTCGTAACTTTGGAAGGATTTCCCTTGGCCAGAGTGGACCGGAGCTTGAGGGAGAGTGGGAAGAAGAAAGGCTGAGGACTCTCCATGTATGTGAATGAGAGATGGTGTAATGCTAGCACGTTAGCGTTAAAGAGCGGCACTGCACGAAGGATGTTGAACTGTTGGTTTTATCTGCCGAGGGAGTTTTCGCACGTCCTGGTGATTACAGTTTAAATCCCCCCTCGGCTGATGCTGCTGCGACCTGTGAACTCATCCATAGTTCAGTGTCCCAGCTGCAAACATCACACCCTCAGTCTCTGATCATCATCTCAGGAGACTTTAATCATACATCTCTCTCTACCACTCTCCCCACATTCAGCCAGTATGTGGACTGCCCAACCAGAGACGGTGGGGCCTTGGACCTGCTGTGTGCAGACATTAGGATGCATATTACTTAATTATTGTTTTTTTCTTATACTTTCGATATTTTTGTATGCTGCTGTGGCGTGTAAATGTCCCTCAATGGGGGATCAATAAAAAACTATTCTATTCTATTCTATACACCAATTTATTCATGCATGCTTACATACTGTAAATACACATTATTTTACATTCATAACTCTAGTGCAGTATATGCATCTATCGTTGATAGTACAGTACAAGTTGTATTCATTTACTGAGAGCTTTCATTAGGTAGAATAAAGGAACCAGACTGGTGGAGAAGAGCTGATGAAATTAAGGAATGAAGGGAACTCAGAAAACAGGATGTAGAAGGGAGCTTTCTGAGGAATATTTAGTCCATCCCTCTTTCCCTCCCCCAGCCGCCCCCACTCCCTCAGCGCCACTACAGCCCTGCAGTATGCTGGCTGGTGTGTTCTTATATAAGAGGCCAATCCTGTGGGATGCCAGGATGGCAATGGAAGTCTTTGATGGCCACCACACAAAGGCACAAAGGCAAAGAGGCAGGCTTTGATACGCGTATCAGTCCCCCTACTGCCTCTCTGGCTTCATAATACAGCCACTAGTATAGCTCTGCCTCTTCTGTCAGCACATACAGACAACAGTATAAAGTGGAGAAGCCTCTGTCCTCGAGGGAGAAAATCACACACATTTACACAATGAAACCCTGCACGCAAACTGTATCGCACGCTCAACCATATTGTACATGCACATGCTCGTAGATGTTATATCTATCTGCACATGTACTCTTAGTCATATATTCTGAAAAGCATCCATGCATTGTTCAGATGAGCGCACAAGTAGATTCTTAACACACCAGTTTGCTTTTAATGTCTCTTGCAGACAAGTCAAGCATGGTATATAGCAATTTGTCAACGGCCTTCGGTGACGTCAATATACTGACGACATTTCATAGGAATATGCGTCATCCCCTGTGGCAAAAGCCCCAAAGAATTAACTGTGCTGTTATTCTTTTTTTCCTTTCAACTTCATGTTCTTAGTGTTTTGTGTTTGTGCGTGTGTGTGTGTGTGTGTGTGTGTGTGTGTTTGATATAACACATAGGAAGACTGTGTGGATGCTTGTGTAGCTACACACACATATCACTCATACACACATCTGTCATCCCAGACATACTGACACAGTGGGAGGTAT